CGACCCGACTCCGGATAAGCGGGAGAAGATGGATGGATGGATGGAAATATTACCTTTATTTAACCAGGAAGATTAGGAATCTCTTTTACAAGAGATACCTGGCCGAGGTGTGTCTCGACAGCAGACAACACCTCGCACCACATCACATCCAGACATCCACAGCTACACTACTGATATCACTGACTTACACATCTGACTTTGTCAGTATTAAATTATTATTTAATAAAAGATAACACTTTCTTTTGGCAATACCTGTGTTGTCTCCTATCTTTTGTCATAGCCTTTTTGCCGGATTGTAACATCAATGAGCTCAAAGACAGTTTTTCTGCCATGGCTGGGCAATAAAGCTCATTCTACTTTATTCTGTACTAGTGCATCATACTGCAGGCTACAGAGGAAAAGGAAAACAAACGGCAGCCTTGTTAGATGATCTTCAGACAATGATCTTCCCTCAGCTCAGCTGTTGAACTGTTTTACATGAAAAAGCAACAGAGAAACAGCTTGCTCAGCTCTGTGGTGCAGTGTGGATGTGTGGCTCCATGGTGGTTTGCCCTCAGTAACACTATTTCTTCTGAAAGAGAGAAAGCGTCGGTCCAACAGATGTTTTTCATTCCAGTCATTAGCAACAAAATAAAAAGGACCTGCTAAAAATAGCTTCCAGTTTATACTACATGCTGCAGTATGTCAGACAGAAAAGCCCGGCAGAGGATCGTTAGAGGAGCTGAGAGGGTCATCGGCGTTTCCCTAACCTCTGTCCAAGAACTTCTCCAGAGCCGCTGCAGGAGCAGAGCACTGAACATTGTTGGGGACTCCTCACACCTTCTCCATAAACTGCTTGAACTGCCGCCATCAGGCAAACGTTTCCAGAGCATTAAAAGAAAAACCTCCAGAATGATCAACAGTTTCATGCCACAAGCTGTCAGAATGCTGAACTGCTGATCTAGATAGGCAAATACTTGTTTATTTAAATTGCTTTAAGTAATTGGATCCTGCAGAAACGCTCTCTCATCTTGCCTGTACTATGTATGTACAGCAAAACTGACAATAAACATGATCTGATATGATACTACTAACAGTGTTGGAACATATTTTACCATAAATGGTTATTCACAGATTAATGGTAACTTAGACGCAGTAACTTCTATATGTAATATTGCCTGATGTAGACTGTATGTAATGACCTACTAAGAGTACTTTGTGATTATAAAGTTGACTTTGAATTATGGGGGCTAACTTTGTTAGCATCGACTTCACATACCTGTCAGGAGTCAGGCTGGTACAGACAGGTGTACATGAAAGCTTCATCCATCTTGCTATAGGCTTTGGGCTCGATGTGTGAAATACCCCTGACCCTCATTTGAATATTAGGAGTGGAAATAGATTAGGAGATAAAAGTCTCTGGAAATAAATAAATGTGGAATTTCAAAAAAAAAAAAAAAAGTTGTTCAACAATTACATGATATATTTATTGCCATATTTGTATGTTTGAGGATTTGTTTTATAGCCATATTAATTTATTTTTTGGAAACATTTATTTATATATGTACATATTCATTGAACCAATTTTAAATAAAACAGTATTCCAAATTTCTAAGCCAATGAACACTAAATACATCTTTTGTCAAAGTCAAATAGTGTCACATTTGACTTTTAATTGGTGAAGATTTTAGTTGTTTTGTATTTTTTCATTCATACCATGGAAGCTAATGCCCATCCATCCATTATCTACACATCTCTTAATACTCACTAGGGGGCTGGAGTCTATCCCAGCTGACTCAGGGTGAAGGCAGGGTCACCTGGACAGGTCACCAGTCTATCACAGGGCTACACGTAGAGACAGACAACCAGCACACTCACATTGGAAGCTAATATACATATTACATTACACTTTTAAATAGAATTTGAGATTTTTCTATTTACCTCAACCTGCATGTTTTCAATTATGACCCCCTTTTATTTAAAAACTGGTTGTCTTTTACTGACACTTTATTCATTGTCCTTTGAAAAGCAGGCACCCCTACTGGAGTATGGAAGACTGCAGCACCAGCTAATGACCAAAGATCAAGCAGAATGTCAACTGTGAATTTGTCGGTCTCAGAAAATCTCAGTGAATGTCTTCAAACCACAGGCATAGAATGGCATTGAAAAAGTATTCTTACCTAGTGTGATGTATTAAGGTTAGTGCCTAACAGGCACCCGTGTTGTTGGTATACGTAAACACGGAGGTGTGTGACGTGTGTTGTGGTACGTGCGGTATGCCGGAGCTGATGCAGTCAGTGCATGTAATGGTTCCAAGTAAAATGTGATGTTTCACATGCAAAGCAAGCCTCCAGACTCGTCAATATATAACACCTAGTTTACAGGCCCTGCATAATATCATATCCATCTCATTTGAGGCACTGTGCGACAAGCAACAAGCTCAATGGTAGTGAAATGATTCTTACTTGAGGTTCCTACTTCTTTTGATAGCTTCGGTCAAAAGCATAATGGTAGCTCTCTTTCTGATCACATTTCTTTTAAAACATTTCTACATTTCTAAAACTTTCCAAATCATTTCGACAAGTTGCCTTGTCCTCCACTCTTCACTTTGGACCATTCACTGCCTCTTTCTGCTGCCATGCTTTTAAAAACCCTTGGAACCTTGAACAAGCCTTCTGGTTTTCCTGCCTGTACCTTCCCTGCCCTAATCTGCCAGCTAAGTTTACCAGTCCTTGCAATTCCCTCAGCGATGTTCCTTGTAGCTCTCCTTGCCTGGTTACACTGGGTTTTGGTTAGCCTTTAGTCCTGTCTCGTGTTGGTTTCTTAGCTCCATGGATAATCTCTTGGCCTGTTTCCTAGTTCAGCCAGTAA